GTGTGTGTGTGTGTGTGTGTGTGTGTGTGTGTGTCAGTGTCACCTTGGCAGGTGCCAAGCTTCCTGTAAGGGAAACCCAGGAAGTGTCCTGGATGGGAACATACGCCCTTTGTCTGCCAGCTCAGAGAGCCCCTGCTCCCTCCTCCTATCCTGCTAGCCTTGTACCCAGCTCTCTTCCAAGCAGTTGAGCAAGGCGGCTCAATCTTTTATTAGGGCTGTGGCAGCTGAGACGCCGGGTGGCAGGGAAGGGGTGGGAGAGAAGTTTGGGGGACAGAACCAGGGCAGTGCGGACGTTTGCTGCCGCCCAGTCTGAGGGGAGCACGCACCTACTGCCCCTAGAAGAGGGCTTTGATCCAGGAAACATCGGTTGGGCATCTACCATGTGCTAAAACGAGTCGAGGAGCCCGAGGGAATCAAGTCAGACACAATCCATCCATGTCCCCACGGAACTTACGGAGAGGTGGGGGAGATCAACATGTAACACAACTACTATAATAATTACCATGATATCACGGTGACCATAACACAATGGTGATGTGTGCCATGAAGGAGTGAATAAGGGGCTGACAGACACAGAGTAAGGGGGGCAGGTGAGAGTAGGGAAGCCCTCTCTGGGGGGCGGGTGTCACTTAAGCTGAGATGAGGAGGAGCCAGCCATGAGAAGAACAGGGGAGGACATTCCAGGGCCAGGGAGGCAGTAAGGAATACACGGGCTTTGAGGTCAGATTTCGGCTTAACTCCCAGCATTCTGGTGCTGGCTATGACCTTGGACAAGCTCTTTCCCTCTCTGAGGCTCTGTTTCCTCGCCTATAACATAAGGGAGGGGTGCCTGGCTGGCTCAGTGGGTGGAGCATGCAGCTCTTGATCTCAGGGTCATGGGTTCGAGCCCCACATTGGGTGTAGAGATTACTTAAAAATAAATTCTTTCAAGAAACAAACAAACAAAAAAATAGGGGAGATGGGTCAGATACCCTCCCCTGGGGACATGAATGCTTCCCTTTGCGGAACTGTTAGGGACAGAGGTGCTGAAAGGGGCCCCCAGGGCCTGGCTCATGGTCAGTGCCCACCAATGGTAGTGCTGGCTATTGTCACGTCACCCTCGCCCGGTCCCCCGAGCACTCTGTTCACACAGTCCATAGGTTGTGCAACTAGACCCCGGAACAGGGACGAGTTTCCCGGAGCCACACAGCCCCCACTGGCAGAGACCTTGAGGAAGGGAAGCATCTGCCTGCTCAGTGGCCCTTCCCCTTGACGGGCTCCGTGTGGGCCAGACCAGAGCAGAACCGCCAGCCCCAGCCTTTGGGGGGTGGGGTGCCCAGACTTAACAGCTGCATGAAGTTGTACATCCGGGGCAGGGGGAGGTGCAGGGGATCCACTTCTTGGCAAAGAGCCTCAGAAGCCTCCCTGGGCCTCCTCGTCCTGACTCTGCCCCTGCTCCTTCTTCCATATCCTCTGCTCTGCCTGCTGGGAGTCAGATCAGCTCAACTCTTATTCCCTGAGCACCTACTGTGTGTCTGGCCGGGCAGGAGGGGGAGCAGTTCCGAGAAGCGGGAGCCCCCCCACACTGCAGCAGGGCAGGTGGCGGGCCAAGCACAGATAGGAGTCAAATCAGGATCTGTGAGTGAGTCCAGCTCTGCCACTGGTCAGTCGCTTGCCTTGGGCAAGTCAGTTTCCTCTAGTCACCTGGGCTTCGCCGTGAGGATTTGATGGATGCATGTGGATAAATATGCCTGGTACTTCGCAGGTGTTCAGAGATGAGTTCCTTTCCTCTCTCCCTGGCAGGGAGAGGACAGAGGTCTTGGGGAGATCACCGCGAGATGAACGAAGTGCTGGAGATAAGGCAGAGACTTGGTTCCCCTGGAGAATCCGAGGGACGTCATGGCTCCTGTCAGCCGGCATCACTTCCTTGGATTCTAGTCACAGCCTCCAATTTCTGTTTGAGGAACCCCACCCCCACTGTCAGTGCCTGGCTGGAACTATTTAAAAAGAGGCAGCATTTTTCCAGTCTTAACAAAATGCAAGCTTGGCACCATTTTTTTTATGAGCACTTAGACCAACACAGAGGGCAGGGGAACAAAGATGATAAAGAAGGAGAGAGAGCTGATCTCATCACTTAGGCTGCTGGATTCAGCCATGCCTGAAGTCTCCCCTCTGGACCTCTGGAGCCAATGCATTCTCTTTTTTCTTGCCCTGTCTTCAACAGGTTAAAATCATGTTTCCGTTGCTGAAAGCAGAGTCATGGTAAAGACTGGTGAGACCCCAATGGGTCTGGATCACCTCCTCCTCCTGGCAAATTCTGCATCCCTGCCACCACTTTTGAGAAGCATGTCCTGATTCCTCCAGGCAGGCTTAGGAGTCATGTCCATCCCCTGGATACATCCCAAGGCTGCTGGGTTGCACCACCATGCTTTCCCCATGAGACTGGGAGCAGGGCTCTGTCTCATTACTTTCTGGGTCTCCAGCACCCAGCATGATGCTTGGTGCATAGTAGGGACTCAGTAATTCCTACAAAATGCGCAAGTTGGAGATGGAGGTCTTAAGTAGTTGCGTAGGCAAATCACGTAGAAGTAGTGATGGGCAGTGAGCTGTAAAGGGATTGGGCTTTGGAGTCAGACCTCCTT